AAAACCAAAATATACAAATAAATCCACTACTTAACAAACATTCATAACATTAAATCAATTACAACAATATATAAATTATACAACCTCATTCCTTATACTTCCTTTTTAATCTATCAAAAACACTCCACCTTCTTCTCACCTATCCTCTCACCATTACTTTTAATAATATAAACCATCATTTATTTCCTAACCTACACACCAAACTTCCATAAAAAAATTTATTATCTCAACAACACCTAAACTCAATTCCACACAAACACATCAAACACTATCCAAAATACTTAAACCACAATCAATATCAAAATAATCAAACACACAATCAAATTTTCTAATCACTTAATTAACTTATCACACATTATGTTTCAATTTGATGTTATTTCTGTAGAATAATTTTAAGCTACATAGAGATTATATAACAAGAATTTTTATGAGACTTTGGAACATATAATTGTCCGAAACAATATTTTGAATTATTATTCACCTAAGACATTATAGGATTATATAACATAATAAGAAATTATAAGAAATATTATTGGTTTTTTTTATTAAATTGTTTCGATTAGTCTTCAAAAACTAGATATTAATTGAGATTTATAAATATTCATAAGCGTCATTCATAATTATTTCTTAAAGATGTAAAATACTTCCTTTATGTTGTTTTTTATTAATAAGTGTCTTTTTCTACATTTTGTAATATATGTTTCATCCAGTTTTACTCAAGGCTATCAGAATTCATCTCTCCAAATACAAGTAATCTTATTAGATCGATTTCATAAGTATTTCTCATAATTAATTTCGATCTATCTTAAGCCATATTTGTAGGATTTTAAACCTATTTTTAATTTCATATCACTTTGAAACGGTAATCTCTCATAATAAAAAAAATTATTTCATAGTTGGACAAGGGTGGAATGGAGAACCCTATTTTAAAATGTCATTCGCTGGACAAGATGAAACAGAATTGGACTTGATGTTGAGGAGATTATGCCATGTTGGTTTGAGAAAAAGGAAAGATCATATAGAATCAATGAAATACTAAACCAAGATTATTGAAAAAGGGATAAAAATAGAAGTGAATGGAAAACGAGTTTAACACCCTTTAATGGGGCATTCCTAATTATAACCCTGAAAATATGGATAAAAAAGCAGGGAGAGGAAAATGACTTTTAATTGGATATTGTTAAAGGAAATCAATTTTATCAGAAGGCGTAATCATTATTGAAAAGGAGGGGTATCAAAGATATACTCAAATAGGAGAACGCAATGCTTGTGATACATAGATGGGACAAGTTCCCTAATAGGGAACATATAATCTTTGGTGACAAAGAAGAGAGAAAATGGCTTCATTTCATTATGGATGACGTGTCAATATTAAATCATCATGTTCTCCTATATAAATCCCAGATTGACAACATGAAAGCATACTACTCAGAAAAGATCAAAGAGCTATTCTAATTGGTACAACAAGGCATATAAGCTATGCAAGAGGAGGGACGAAATTCATAATGGGAGGAACATAAATAGAATATGGATTCATCAGCAGAAAGCAGTAAATTTAGGGAAGTATTTGAATAGCTAAGGATACTCAAAGAAAAGAACTTGAAAGTCTATCAGATAGTTGAAAAGACAATTTCAAACGCTGAATCAGTTCAGAGTTAACAGGGTATCCTCAAGAGATTATCATCCTTTCTTAAAAGCGGAATTAAGAAGGAATTAAAAGAGATAGAGGAAAAAGAGAAAGTGCTCGCTCTTTTATAAATAAATTTGAAATAAACTGACAAGAAATTCTCTCTCATGCCTATAAATGCTTTTCAGAATGGGTTAAAGTCTTTTGTAGTTGAATACGATTGTGAAAGCTTCCTGAAATTATTCTTTTGACTGACCTGTGACTTTTTCGAAGTGTCAAAGAAGAAGAAGGATCTTTAATAAGGGATAGAGAGGATGAGCTTTTGTCAGATTAAAAAGGGGTAATGGAAAATAAGGGTTTTAAATGATGATTTAGAATGATGGAACGATAAGGTTAGAGGATACTAGTCTTCGATCGACTTTCTATAAGTAGCCTCTTATATTTAAGTATGCTTTACTGACCATAGCACACTTTTTATAGTTTTTATGAGAAAGCAAATTACTAATATAAGGTAGTAGAAAAGATGAAGTTTGGAAAACAATTGATTGATTTGCTGTCCTAAGGGATGAAAGAGAAAGGTAGGTCACATTTTTGCTTTAAACTCTTATTGAATAATCTTTTGCAGGAAGTATTATACAGGCTAAAAGGAGTCCTTTTAGAGATAGAGAGAAAAATTAATTTTCCTCTTAGAACAATAGGTTGACTTCATAATTTTATGAAATTAGGTGAACAAAATAATTATTCAAGTTGAAGAGGAAAAGTAAAACATTTCTCTGGCTTTTTTTACACAATTTATTTCCCAGAAATTGATTTGGATTTTTGGATATCCTAAGAGCAATCTTACAGAAGTAGCTTCCGCCCGATAAAAGATATTCTTAAAATTGAATACCTTTGGCTAAAAATAAAGAATTTTCTTATTTTACAATGGTTGTATTCTCTTAAACTTGTTGTCATGGTCAAAATCCTATTGATTATTTTTATTTATTAATCTTGCACTTAATTCT